GGGAAGAGAAGCAGCCGGGGGGGGGGGGGATGTCCGCAGCACTTGCTCAAAACTCTAGATGCACCCATGGGCCCAGATAGGGTGGTGATCCCTGCTATGTACGGTTTAGCTCATGATTGAATGTGCCGACTGAAATGCGGAATCCAGTTTCCATATTTTCCCACGCTCCCAGGTGTGCTGTTTCAGTGGACCTGCTCACCTCCATTCTGCATTCATTGCCCCCAAACAGCAATAGCCCCTCTTGCCTTCTCTAATCCACCTCTTGCCCTCAGCTTTCTCAGTCTGCCTCACCCCCAGCAGCTAAATGTAAAACAAGACTTCTCTTGGGGGATGACCCCAACCGTGTGAACTCACTCCATACTCTGTTTTGGTTTTATATATATTTGCTTCCCGTCTCTCTGGGGTGTGTGTCTGACACAACTTTTACCTCTACGTTTCGGTTTGGATTTTCCCACCAACATTCCTTGCTCCCTCCCTGCCTGTTTCCCCCGTCGCTGCCAGTTCTGCTAGCTCCGACCCCTGTTGAACTCAACGGCTGCTGGCAAAGGTGTCGATTTTTGCTTTGGTTTCTGGAGGACCTTCCCTGGCTTTGCCATGTAGAGAGGAGGACTGTCTCATATTAGGAGGAAGGGATTTAGCTCAGCGCTGGAACATTTGCTTTGTATGCAAACCCTGGCATCTCCAGGTAGGGCTGGGAATATCCCCTGTCTGAAATCCCTCAGAACTGCTGCTTGTCAGTGTAGACGATACTGAGCTAGTTGGGCCACTCTAGGTTCTGTTATGGGTCCCATGGTGCCAGCCAGGGCGGGGCAGGGATGGCAAGATAAGTCGGAGGAGGAGGGGGAACGAGAGGTTGAAGGTGGGATGAGCTCAACGGAGATGGAGGGGTTTTTGCCCCATGGTTGCTAGACGTCACAGAAGGAGCAGGAGGCTACCTGAGTCAGTCTCCTCTCTGCCCCTTGAGAGTTATGTTCCTATGGTAACCAAGGAGGTGGCTGGCAAACCAGCAGGATCAGTTGAATTAGTTGGAGGGTTGGACTCAGGTCCCATTGCAAAAGCATACACCCTAAGTGTCGCAGAAAAAACAGGACATCCCGTTCTTTGTCACAAGAGAACAGCGGCCATTTCAGTTGCCATGATATTCCATGATTTTGTAGTGCAATTCCCCTCCCCCAAGCACTTTTTTGGGGCTGTGATCTTGCATGGTGCCCCATTGGAGAATCATTTCCCAAGAAAGTGCTTTTGGTGGGAGGGGAATCGTGGTGTAAAATCGTGTTAGGTGATGGCAACCAAAATGGCCGCCATGTTCTAGAAATAAAATACAGGAAGATGGCACCCGGGAAGATGGCGTCCTGGATTTTTTGCTTCAAAGTGTTGGAGGGTATGTGCTAGTGCTAACAGACCCAGGCTTCCCCCTGTAGCAGCACACACTTGCCAGCACAGTTTTTTGGGACAAGAACCATACAAATGACTGGTCCTGGCCTGCAGCAGGGGCATGTCAAGGGTCAGGGACAATGTCTTTGTTAATGCCTAGCCACGTATCTTAGAACTCTGCCTGCAGGCCTTTGAATCGAGCCAAGAGTCTAAGGACCATGTCTGAGAATGGAAGCCAGGACAAGTTCCCAGGTTCATCCACCCCAGAGTAAAATGATCAATGAGGCCCCATTCCAACAAGTTACTCTCTGATTGAGAAATTCTTGCAACTGTGAATTTCTCCATGTATTGCAGTAATAGATTCCTCGTAGCAGAACTCTTTCCAGGCTCACATGTACATTTCTGGCAGTGGATGTGGGGTCAGTCTAGCAAAACCAAGATGAAGAGAGGAGGAAAGAAAGAAAGAAAGAAAGAAAGAAAGAAAGAAAGAAAGAAATGCCACATTCTAAGGGATTGCAGATGTTTGGATGTTGGCAGGACTTTGGTAGCGGTGGCTGATACAACAGTTCATAACATGCTGAACAGGGAAAAAATGTTAAAAGGGAAACGTGCCCTTTTAAAGGGTCCATCGCACCATCAAAGCCAGTTAGTGTAGGCTGGATATTGGAGCCAGCCTTGTCTTATAACTAAGAATGAAGCAAGCCTCTCTGTTCCTTCATTGAAAAAGTCCCAAGTTGCTGAAAGAGCCAAACAGGAGGAACAGGATGTGTGGGCGTAGGCCACGGACTTGGCATAGTTCTGAATGAGGTGGACTATTAGGAGTTCTGTATATATTTTTCTTTTTGAGAGATTTTCTGCTCCCTGTTGCCCAGAATGCAAAAAGAAAGTCCAAGACAACGCATAGAAGCAGCAACAGCAGCTTGGCTATTCCAGAAGAACACATAGAGGAGCTGGATCAGACCAAGGACCCATCTAGTCCTGCATATTGCATACCCCACAACTGTCCTGGGAAATCAGGGCATCCAGTATTTTCACGCAAGAGCACAGCATTCATTTTGGGTGCCATGATCTCGTGTGATTTCCACGATCTCGTGCACATTACATGACTTGCTCTGGGGTATGTCCTAGAAGATGTACATCTCGGTTTTTGGCCTGGACATGTTGGAGGGTATAATATTGTTGTCACAGTGGGAAGCCTGCAGGAAGCATGCGAGTAGGATTTGAATGCAACAGCACCCTCCCTGCTTGTGATCCCCAGCTCAGAGGCATACTGCCTCCAACTGTGGAGGAAGAACATGGTCATCATGGCTCTTAGCCAGGGACTGTCATATTCTCCATGGATTTGTAATCTACGGAAGCCATCTGAAGAACCTCTTCCCTAAAGAACCTCTTGCCTTGATAACTGTTATCCTCCACTCTTAATAAAGACTAGATCTACAGCCAATGTCTCTGCCACCCCCCCTTACTCCGGTTAGGGTATGCAATTAATCCAGGATTCACTCCATTCTCTCTCTCTCGTTCTTTGATTGGACTATAGGCTCTCTACCCACAAGGCAATGCTTCAAGTTATGTGCATAAGCAACATGTTTTTCTGTGTGTGGTGTATCTGTATCCTGGGGCAGGAGCAGTGGCCACATTTAAAACACTCTTGCGCAGAAGGAATTTTGCATCATGAATGGAAAAAACCTTTATTTTTCAGCGTAAGGGAAGAAGCAAGCCGTTTCTCTAAGGAGGCACTTCCCATGGTGTCTAACAGCTGGAAGGGTTGTGGCGAAGGAGACTGAGGGTTGTGGCTCTGCAAAGCTGCTCCTCTGGCCACATAATGGCATCTGCTCTCACCACACGCCGCCGTCTGTGCGTCCAGGCATAAACACGCCCATGTAAATGCATGTCCGCAAACTGCATTAGAAACCACAGGAACCTACACTTCAACTGGCTCTGTTTAGCCCTGCGGCTGGGCTGAAAATTCAGAGTGAAAGCCAAGCTCTGGCAGCTGCTGGCTAGCAGATTATTTTGGAGCAGCCTCTCTTCTGACGGCGATTATTCGCCTAGTGGGAGGACAGTGGTGGTGGTGGGAGACTTTTTAAAGGATGTTCTCCTGGGAGTCACTAGGTGGTGCTCTTGAACATCATCAGTTTGTTTCACTTCCCACTTTTACTATTCCAAAGACCACGGGAGCATGGCGCCTTCCCATTCTCTATGGTTAAACCAAAAGCATGAAATGAGCATGGGGGAAAACAGTTTATATAGAAGGAATCTTCTTTCCCTGTTTCATAGTTAGAATACTAGCTGATCTGCTTCTACACAGCTTTGCACAGGGGTGTTGGAGAACTCCAACAGAAACAGAAACAGAGCGGAAATTGCCAAGGTTCACTTATTCATTCCATGACCAGAAGAGAAATCAGTCCAGTGAAGATAATCGGTATTCCCTCTTGTTTTCAGTCTGCAAATGATACTTAATTCAGGCATTCCTCCCTTCTTGGCATTGTGTTTCCTTTGCATTGAAATTTATGGGGTGGAATAATGGAATGATAATTAATTAAATTAAATTCCGCCGCAGCGGACAGCAATCCAAATAATTTAGTTTTGTTGGAAGCTGAACTGCAGCAGAATGGAAACAGTGCAGCATGTGACAAACAAGAGTTGGAATGGAAATCCAAATCTCACATTCCTATTTCTACATGTATACAGTGCAGGAGTTGACTGTCAAATGAATTTCTGAATTCCTTAGACATTGACCAGTTAACAGCCCTGACCATCCATTGACGTAGCTGGATGAGACAGCAGAAGATATGGAGCCACAATAAAGATGCAGGTACTTCTGTCCTCATTGGATAAGTGTGGAGGAATGCAATCAGTTCCTGTACATGGATCTTTCACGCTGTACTGATTTCAGTTAAATCAAGCATGCTCAAGTCTGTGTTCAATGGTGGCGCTAATGCTGGAGCAGAAGAAATCTGCTTGTCATCTTCCCAGAACACTATAAATGGGGCAATACAGTACCAATAAATGTACATAGCAGTTGAGATCCCTGTCCAGGAAGAGCATTTGGGGGATGCCTGTATTTTGGAGGCTATTGGGAAGTACCATTCTGTAGATTCCCCCCTTCTTAAGTGGTGGGATGGGCTCTCTGCTGTCATTGTGGGAGCCCAGGGGAGGGTTTCCCTTTGTTGTGTTGGCTGCTGGGGAGGTGACCATATTTTTTCACACCATGAACCAAAGTTGAGTCTATTATAAAACAACTATGGCAGTAGTGGAGGCTGGTCCATTAGGACACATGGGGCACTGCTGCACCAGTCTCATTCTACACTCACGGAGCACCCACATGCCTGCCTTCGTATTTACAACCTGCCCAGGATGGTGGCACTGCCCATCTTCCTCCTCTTTCTTAGTCTCAGTGTTGCCTTTCTAGAACTCAGCAGGGGGACAAAACAAGAACTAGTTAGCTCCGCCTGTCATTGGCTCTGAGTCCCCCTACTCTTGGGCTCCCTGCCTTTCACCCCACCAGCCCCAATGGGTAGCAGCCACCACTGCATGACAGCCACTATGTTTTTGAACTGGGGGCCATGTTTTTCTGCCTACGGTGCCTTGGAAATCAACTCAACTTCCAGTCCTCATGTGGAAGAGCTGTAATTCGGTGGCAGAGCATCTGCTTTGCATGCAGGAAGCCCCAGGTTCCATCCTTGGCATATCCAGGTCGGAAGATACCCCAGTCTGTTTCTGGTCAGTGTAGACAATATGGAGCTAGATGGACCATCAGCGTAGATTGAGAATCAGATTGTTATTTGCTTCCGTGATCATGTCTTGAATGGCTATTGAAATGTGTGTGGGCGAAAGCCAAAATGAGTTTGCAACACCATTAAGAAACCGAAAACACCCTTCCTGAAAATTCTCTCCTAGGCTCACTTTGATGATGGTGAATAATATGCTCCAAATGTTCTCTGCTCGCATGACATTCGCAATCAGTGTGCCATATGACGGTTTTGGGACAGTTTCACAAAAGCATTTTACATATTGTTCACTACTGGCTTCAGTCATTAAGTGAACCACTCAGGAACATCCCTGTGAATAAGGGGCAAAACCAACAAGGATGGGTATCTTTCTGCTCAAGTGAATTGGTGACGGAGGGAGGAATCCACGTGAACTGGACATGAGTGTGGATGAATAAGCACACGCCCGAGGCCCAGAATTAAAATCTTCCATGGGTTAGCAACACCCTTAATTAGTAAATAGCTAGAGACTATAAACAATGGAAAGAACAACAGTGGTGTCTTTTAGCCGCAGCATTTTGAAGGGAAGGTCTTCAAGCAATCTTGTTTGTCTCTGCATGAGAAGCTGGATTATGTCTCCACTGAGGTTGGCCTCCTTCGAGAAATAAGGACAAGCTGTGGGGGCCTGTGTGCAACACACAAGGCAATTTGGAAGGAACAAACTGGGACGGTGTCTGGCGGCTTTAAATTGTTCACAGTTTCCTTGGCTTCAAGTTTTGTCTTTTTGTGAACATTCTTGACATGTTGTACCCCGTGTTTTGACCGGCTCTCTGGGGAGAAGCATTTTGTGTACTTTAAAAAGAGAAGAAAAAAAGGAATGAGTAAGAGAGCGAGAGAAAGGGAGGCAGAGAGGAGGTGAAAAAGAGAATTATCCTCGTTTTAAAACTGGCACCAAACTTTGTAGCTTCCCCAACCCACCCCTGTTCAAAGATGCATTTTAGGAATGTTTGTTGTTATACCCTGTCTTTCCAGTGATCCAAAGCCAAAACTTCAAAAATCAATCAATCAATCAATCAATCAAGGAACAATGCAGAATTAATAATACCAGACCTATACTTTCCAAGAGTGCACAGGTTTCCTGAAGTAAGTTAGAACTATGCGATAGATTCTGTGGGGCTTTGATGTTCTGGGATATGGGAGAGACTCTAAAATAAGGGACATCTGGCAAACGTAAGTCATGTCAACACACACGTTTTCAAGAGTCTTCTGTTTTCTCTACCATTTTGAATTTCACAGTTTCCAATCCCATATGTTCAAGATTAGACAGGCACCATAAATCTTTGAAGGTTTTTTCTTTTTGTTTAATTTAGGGTGGAAAGAGAAAAATCCCAAGGTGATCCAGGATGACCCCATATCAGAAGCACATAGCCAAGAAAGTTAAATCTCCAAAATGCTTATAAGGTCTGTACATGTGTGGTGCACTTAAGAGCATCATGGAGCTGTAGTGACCTACCAATTACTGCAAGGGAGCTCATTACCCTTTGCACCATCACAAAGACTATCTGGAACTGTAGGATGCAATGGTAATTTCGCTCTCTGGATACCTTCACCGGTCCCTTTTGCCACTTAGAAGGCCAACACTTCTGTTGGAATATGTGTACCAGATCTGTGGATAAGATAGACCCATAAGCACCTGGTGCCATCAGCAATAAGCCTGAACGGAGGATCAAACTGTTCTCATTTTTTTAAGTTTATTACAGAGACTTTAGGGTAACAGCTGCATCTTCCATGCCATTATATTTTGTGAAATCTTCCCCTAATGGTGGCTACGAGATTGATGCTGAGGAACTGGAAGAATAGAGATATGATTCCCCTTAATCAATGGCTTGACAACATGACAATATTAGCAACATGTAAATGGACTGTCTATAGGCTCAGACTTTCTTTGGATAAATATAATGATATTTGGAACAACTTTACACAGAATATAATAGGTTATTGATAAAGATATTTGTGCTAGGATAATAAGACTACACATCTGTATACTAATGTATGGAAATTTAATTGAGTAATTTCCTTTTATTTCCATTTTCATTCACATTTTTCTTTTTTATCACTCTTTTCATAAATGAAATTCTTTTAATAATATATTCTGGGAAATCTTACTAATATGTGTAGAATTGTAACTTTTCTGATTTATTCAGAAAAGAGAATGTTAGCCGCTTTGAGACTCCTTCAGGTAGTGATATAGCGGGATATCAAATCCAAACTCCTCCCCCTCCCCCCCTTCTTCTTCTTCTTCTTCTTCTTCTTCTTCTTCTTCAACAAGGTTTCAGTCTGGGGTCATTCCCAGCCTTAACTGGAGAAGCCGAGAATTGAACCAGCGGCCCTCTGAACACAACACAGTTGATCCATTACAAGAGTCACAACCCTTGCTCACAACTTAATGGCATACATGGCTATTGGGTGGTCACTTGCACATCACCAAAAAAGAGAAGACCTAATACAAAAATAGGACTAATATATGCAAAAACCCAAAACCCTTTCTCATACTAAATGTTATATATAGGTGGGCATTTAGAAATAATGACTATAGTTTAAGTAGAAGGACAGTCTATTTCAACACAGTGGGGAAGATAGTGATCAGGTGACCTGTGTGTCTGGCCCAGCCTGCTGTCCATCCAGGCACTGCTAACTGTTGGTGGGCACCTTCGAGTCCCTCTTCCCCACTCTTCCTTCTCAGGGTTCTTTATTTCTCCCCTGGAACAGGACCACAGTCACAGCACACATTTAAAGGGCTATAGTACCACTTTAAACAGTCATGGCTTCTCCCAAGGAATTCTGGGAGCTGCTGGTTGCCCTATTCCCTCCAGAGAGCGACAATTCCCAGAGTGGCTTAAGAATCGATCTCTTTACAAAGGGAGCTCTTGGAATTGTAGTTCTGGGAGGGCAAGAGGCATTTCCTAACAACTCCCAGCACCCTTAACTAAGTAAAGTTCCCATCATTCTTTGGGGGAAGCCATGGCTGTTTAAAGTGGTACAATAGTGTTTTAAATGTATGGTGTGAATGTGGCATTGGATTGGACAACCATTCAAAGATGGGCACTTTAGCTGTGACTCCTGCATTGTAGGGTCTAGATAACGCTTGGGTTTCCTTCTCTGAATTTTGGACTGAAGATTTGGACATAAGGCTGCCCATGACATTTGTCTTTCAGGCATTATACTGCCCATCTGCAGAAAAATATAACGAAACTCTCATTTTTTTCTGGAGTCATTCCTCCTTGGGTGTGTTTCTGCAGTGGACTGAGAGGTGGCAGCAAAGCCTCTTGGAAAGAAGGGGCAGATGAGCTGTGGGTGTGCGTGTGAGTGAGAGAGATTGTGACAGTCTGAAACGCATCTTTTCAAAGTGTCCCTGGAAATGCCCGTACAAGGTTATTTCAGATGCCCTTCCATCCCTTGTAAGCTGTATTCAGTTTGGAAACAGGAGCATGGTTGAGAGAAGGGATTCCAGTTCTCTTGGGAATTCCAATGGGAAAGAAGTAAAAAGAAAGAAAGAAAAGCTTCAGAAAACGAGGTGCCTGGAATTAGGAAAGAGGGTGATGCAAAGCGATATGCTCTCTGCAGTGCCGGTTGGTTTGCACATAGCTTTACATTTATTAGCTAAGTTCCAGCTACAACATGTAGCATTCGTATTGCATGCAGATCAGCAGCTTGGCACATGGAACATCTATCTACATGCAACTATGCATTAACTGGCAATGCCCTATTGGGCTCATCTGAAGTCATAAATTCTATGGCTCCTTCTGAAATTATAGCTTGAAACTGCTAGAGCCCCATAGCCTCATGATTTCCTTAGCAATGTAGCTAGGGCTAAAAAAGAGGAAGAGGATTTTATGAATTCACAAAGATAGGAAATATCAGTTATATGGGTGAGGCATACATTTTCTTTTGGTATGTGGCAGCGTATTGCTTATGCAGCATGATATTTACAGGATGATGGAGACTAGAGTGCTCTCCAGTTGGTATAGATGAGGGGTCTCCAACCTGGTATCACGAAGGCTTCCAGTGGTGCTCTGGGTAGGTGCAACAGACACTGAACTTCTTTAAAATAGTCCACAGTTGTCCATACTTCTTCTTGTCCCATGCCTATTGAGAAAAGGGCTTCCAAAACATGAATTGTGCTTATGAATTACGAACAGAGGTGGAAACGCTATTACCCTATTCTGGTGGCAAAGGTTGAGGGATTGGACATTATCTGGAACCAGCCGGCTCCCCTGTTGGATTCACATGGCACTGGCAGTGGCAGCAGCAAGAAGCAACATCACTTAGAGGGAGCCACCATTTACATTTCCCACAATGCCCTGGAGTGATGTTCCATTAGGGGCATAGTGGGAAATTTAAATGGCAGCACCCAGCCACCTGACAGTCATTAGAGTGCCAGAAAAAGTGGTTTAAAACAGGGGGTGGGCAAGGCATATGTCAGCACTGGTGGGTCCTGCTGGAGCACTGGGGACTTACGAGTTGCCAGGGAATGTCTCATGTTGGTGCTGCGCTTGGCTAGATAGATGTGAGCCTCCTGTGCTTTGATTTCAATAGCAACAACAAAAGAAAGCCAGCTGCCTGTCACTGGAAAATAATTTGCCTCAAATTTAGTATGCCCCCCTTCCTCAGTCTCCTGTCAGCAAGTCACTTCAGGTGCCTAGAAAGCTCTCTTTCCACACACTGAACAGGGAAGATTGGATGAGCTGATAGCAGAGACCAGCTGGGGAGGACTGAGTCACTCCTGAAGGCTCATTGACAGGGCTCTGGCCATCCCACCGATGGAATGCCTCTCAGCTAACTGAGGAGAATCCCAGGGAGAGCTGCAGGTGTGCTCAAGGCATATGGGATCCTTGGTGGTGAAAGGAAATCCAAGGGTTATCTCTTTCTTTCTCACACATGCTCCCTTATAGGGTGGCCAAGTGTCCTCATTTACTGAGGACAGT